AAGTGTTCTCTTCTCTTCTCTTCTCTTCTCTTTTTTTCTATTCTCCCCTCTCCTCTCCTCTCCTCTCCTCTCCTCTCCTCTCACTGTTACCCATATTTTTTTCATATATTATATCTAATCCTCTTATTCCACAACAACAACATAAAAAAAAAAACACCCCATTCTTTTATTCCAATTTTCCGGTCCATCGATGTAAACATCCTGACCCAGCATTCTCCCAAAGACTTGTTCATCCTCCGTCGACCAACGGCCGAGTTTTCAGTGATATTGGCTCTACCGGTACCGGACAGGAGCACATAGTTATCTGTGATCACCAACTTCTCCGCATATTGTTATATGATCAACTTAGCCCAAGGCTCTTAAAAACTATAATTTTACACTGATATGTTGGTCTAGCCACTGTATTAACCGTCCATTCAAGATAACTCGTGTCTCGTTAGCTTGAATTAGCAGCACAATACCCTTGAAACATTTTATTTCTTCATCTATGTCAACTTCAGTTTTTAGTTCGTAGTATTTTATGTCTGGCTTAGAAGTTGAGACTAAGTTCTTAGTATCTTGACAAATGAAATTTTTACGTGACTTGCGCTACGACTAAATCAGATCTAGTAACTCAAACCCCTTCATTACCTGCTCATCAAGAAGCTTTTTGAAGTACTACCTGATAATATTTCTAATCCTATAAATAACGTTGCATATTATTCTGTTTGTACTCTGTGATCTAAATCTTCTCCTATCTAAAAACAAACCTTGACAATCCTCTCACTAAAGCTCGTGCTCGTAGCTTTAACTTTGCAGTTTTCAGCGACTCGGATACGCCGTTAAGATTTCAGTTGCATGTAAAAGCTTGCGTAAAATCTAAAGTGGTTTAATTAAGATTTTTTTGACAGACCCAAATCCAATTAACTTTATATAGTCGTCCAAGGACTTGGCTTGGGAGTTGTTGGCCCGACGAATATTTACCCCCCAATAGAATTCTGACATTTCACATTTTTGGCATTAAGAATGGATCATTTGAAGGAGATCTATTTCTATAGGTGTTTGATTTGAGCCATGTTTTAGTCATTGCCCTTGCTTAGACCTCTCAAAGTTCACTAAGCTTTTAGGCTACTTAACAAACTATTTTTCATTAACTCTATTACAAATTAGGGGTGTCTTTACCAACACTTGACACCAGAACTCTCACTTTAATTAGCCAACACATGAATCTTTTGACAACTTCTGCGCACGAAACAAAATATACATTAAAAAACTTCCTTCAACATCCCACATGGTTGAAAATTCGTCCCTACTTAGAAGAATATCAACGGAGGAAGCGTTATATTTGAGATAAGAGGATTCTTTCTTGGGATAAAAGTTTGACAAAGTTTACAGTCCATGGTTTTTGTATCTCAACGCTAACGTTCATAAGTTCGTTCGTTATTCTGCGCCTCAGTAGTAACCCTTGTCGTTCGATGTTGATCTCAAGACAGGTTTTAATCAAAATCTTAACGTCTCAATTACCTCGACACTTCAAAATATTTGTCTTTGATGCGCGATTTCTCACACCCTGCGCTCAATATAAATAACTTAGTTTTGTCATTCGATACTTATAGACCTCTGAGGCAGATTCGTATTCAAATCTGCTAAATTAAAGGTCGGTTTTTCATGGTATTTCAACTCGGTTAATTTATTTGGCGATTCCTGGTTCCTGGCTGGCTCTCCTTCTCGCAAGATGTGCATGTAAGACCTCAAATGCGGTTAGTGTAAGAGAACGAGTCACCCGGAGGGCAGAGAACGCTGAGTACGTCATTCTATTCAGGGACTTTGAACAATGACAGCCGTTTAATCGGATCCTTATTAATTGACAGCCAGTAAAAGCAGGAAGCGCGAATAAATAAGATGTATTGATGATCACTGTGTTTAGTCTGGGCACGACGTACACACGAAGAGCACTGCTATATTGAAACCGTGGGAACTGAGCGCACCAAACTAGTAACCAAACTGAATATCAACCAAACGCTAACAGGAAGAAAACTACTAGAGTATTCCTAGATCCACTATGTGTGAGTATATTTTTTGAATCAGCATTGGTTGTAGGGCTTGTAGTATTAAATACAAGCAAATATTATAGTCCAATGGGTTATCTTTTATGACATATAACGACCTATATCGTATACAACATTACTGTATCTTGATCCCGGGAGATTGGTAGTATTATAATCTCGTGTGTGCGCTTGGATTGGGAAAATCTTAAAGCGTATTCACTAACTTTTAGTGCTCAATTCTAATATATTGCCCGCCAAATTACATAGGTACGAGTCTGCCAGTTTAGAAAACATCTCAATATACAACAAGAACAGCAAAACTCGAATGAAAAACAGACCAAATGCGCGTTTTGCTGGCACTGAAATTTTGATCCATACTCGAGATCAAAGCCTTTTCATGTGATTGCATTACGCTTGACAATAAGCTGATATGAACTAGAATGTTCATAATCCCTCGTTTGATGTCCGTTCACTCTGGATCTATCCTCAGCGAACCCTACAAAATGTGATGTTTACAAGGATTCCAGTGGTAAGCGAGTGTGTGGAGGTTGCGGGATGACGATTAGTGATCGCTTCTTGCTTAAAGCATTGGATAGGTACTGGCACGAAGATTGCTTGAAGTGTTCTTGCTGTGAATGTCGTCTTGGTGAAGTTGGTTCAACGCTCTACACAAAAGCAGATCTAATTCTGTGTAAACGTGACTATTTACGGTGAGTGTAGTCCAGTCACCTTCATATTTGTTTGTGAAGTTGTTTATTGATTTTGAACGCGCGCAAATGAACGTAATGAAAAAAAGCCTCGAGCATTGAATACAATATAAAACATATGCCTTTCATTAACGAGCTTATTGTTGTTTACGCAATCTTCCGATTTATCAAACTCGCGATTACAAAAAAATGTCAAGGATACCCGAATTTTAGTTTTAAAAAAATCAAGCTTTTGTTGCTTTATCAAAACATTTAGCAGTCGCAATTGATTCCTTTGTCAACCTTATGGTCGTTTTGAAGAGCGGACTCTTAGAGAATTTTGCAATCATACTCTTCTGGCGAATCTTCTAATTCATATGAAAGCACTGAGAATGAAAATTTGAGGATTGTGAGCGAATGAGTTTATTTTCGAAGGGAATTTTGTTATTCTTGCAGCGGCGTGACTAAAGGTTGTTCCTGACATGAACCTCGTATATACAATTAGTATTAGCAATTCGAAACTGTATCTTCCTCGAACTACTTGGAATTGTCAATCTTCTACGGTCATATATATTAGACCTGTGTTTACAAAGTTTATAGTTTCGTGGCGAGGGCTGACAATTTAGCCTTTTTCACTCAACGAGAGCTCATTTCGAAGAGACCTTGTAATAACACCGAGCTGATTTATTAGAACAATATCTTTCGATGTGTCTGAGCAGACGAGTTATATTTGGCGTAATTATTAGTTTAGGCCATACGACATACGATGAACCTTAAGTGAAAGCTAACAAACTGAAAGACACTTCTTCAGTGTAGCGTTTCATCTGTACGGAAGAGATTTACAAGATTTTTTTAAAAACAAAAACAAGCAATCCTATTTTCATTTCGTTCAAGGCTCTAATAACTACAGCCACTGAAGTCAAAACAATCATGATATAAGGTATTGATTATAATCAAATTCTTGCCCAGGTTTTTTAAGACAGTGGAAAGGCAAACTACATCCGACTAAGCGTTATCGGTGCTTTTATTTATGCGTTTGATAACTTTTCCTTTCTTTTACAAACTTTTTAATCGCGTCGATTCTTCTCTTAAATTCCAGGCTATTTCATACTCCTATTTCGATGTCTATGTCGATAGGACCTCTCGTCTTATAATGGTTAATAATACATTGATAATATTTTAATATTAATACGTTTGTGGCATGTTTTTTTGGATAGTATCCAACCTGCAGGCAGCAAGGCACTGCCTTGCATAACGTAATACATATAACACTCTTCATTTCGAGTGCAACACTCACTTTATGTCTATAAATATTATAATCCCTCAAAAGTTAAATCGAAATCTTAAATGGACAAGCAAATACTCTCCAATAATAGCCTAAAATATCCTGGGTTTAAAATCTCGACGAATGCTTCTCACGGTTCATATCTAGTTCCCCCACCCTATTTCTCCTATCAACCGGTTTAGCGGATCATCTGGGTGGCCAACGCATTAAGGTAATGACTTTACAAGTCCATGCTTGCCTTAGTAGAGCAAGATTACGGATATATATTCCTTAAAAAAAAAAGAAAATCAATTAACAGTGGTTCCACAAGAGTTGCTCTTGTGGAGGGACGCGAAAACCGATGCGACGCCGAGTATAAAAGGAATATAACCTGGGTCCTTTTGGTGAGAGGCGAGCGATCTCACCGCTACCGAACCCGTGCTATAGCAACCAGAAGAGAAGTAAACCGAAAGCCCAAGACACTGCTCAATCCAGTGGCGTCAAAGGCACGCTCTTTCGATATATCTACATGACAACGGGGTCTAAGCGGGATTGTTATACATTCATTAATCATAATTATGATAATGCTCAACCGTTTACTCCTGCTAAGCTTAAACATTCATATTTTCACTCGCAAACTGAGAAGGCCGTTATAATGTATTCTCACACCTCGTTTCCATGACAACACAAATTATCGTTTCCATGGAAATATCAGCCATCTATAATGCTATCCATGGTGACACATTCTATACGAGACAGCGCATGTGACGTGACTGAAAACGCCGAATGAACGAGTTAAAAAGTACTGCATGGTTCCGCTCTAATGCAAGCTACCAGAAGAATGATTTTTCGTGATTTTGAAGTAAAAGTTTTTTGAACTTTTTAAGAGTCTTTATCTTAGGAATGTCAGCCCTTAGGACGCTCTTCGATAAGCGCTAGTTTTGACTGCCTTGCGGTCATTATAGCTACTATCAAAATACGCTTGTAGAAAGAAGGAAATATTACTCAATTAAGTAGGGAATTTATAGAGATTTCCAATGAAGATATCTTGATGTTATCTGGGGAAGTTTTGGGTGATTACCATGTACAGACACGCTCAACTATGCGAGTAATGATGGGATTATTTCCCTGCTTTTGAGAACGAATTTAAAAGTTTGATTTTGTGGTTGCGGTTAAAGAGCTAGAAAAGATCACTCCTGCGGTATTTTAGATTTTTTATAAGCTACGCGTTTGGTATCACAGACGTGAACTGAGGAAAGAAAGAAATTCATAGTTTATTGCAAAACTGATTTCTGGCAAAACTGGTATCTTGCTAAACAAATTTCTTTCAAAACTAGTTTATTGCTAAACTGATTTCTTGCTAAACTGGTTTCTTGCTAAACTTGTTTATTGCAATGGTTCTTGATAGAGACCTTTTTTAAACACCTTGGACAATTCACGTCTTTATCATTGCAAGCTCACTGTTCGTCTCGCTTCAACGCAAAGGCAAGGCTACCTTTCGAGATGGCGCAGAGAACTGTGAAAGGGACTATTGCGCAAACAAAATTTCATGGTGCCTAGTTAGCTAGTACCCTCACGTATTGCCTAGGACAGTCTAGGACATGACTAGATGTTTGTTGTCAAAGGCCAAGTGCCTGGCCATAAAGCTAACACGTATCATGAACGCCCTAAGGCCGCGTTTACTTACCTAGCATCAACGAGTGCCGAAAGGTTTTATACCAAATGTAATAACATCACGAAGGCGGATTCGAATCGTAATACTCATCAGCTAATGTACTTTTTTTAGATTTTCCTTTCGTTGGGATACATTATGAAAATTTCACAAAAGACCCCTTGCATGTGAGCTCAATTTGGAGGACAAAACAAAAGAATTTCAATCTCATGGGGATTGCAAACCTATCGTTATGTCCTCCAAAATTAACTGTATCCCGACTTGCTTCCAGGAATCTATTGGTTTCTATCTACTACTAGATATGTTGCAAGTCAAAAATTACATGAAACATCTTTGCGCGCTTAGATTTTTTCCACAACGCTGGTTATATCAAAACTGGCCATGCCTTTTTTTTCTTTTTTTTTTTTTCTTTTTTCTTTTTTCTTTTTGTATCAAGAACTGCGCAAGAAGGCAATTCTTTAGCATTTCGACAACACCAAATCTAAAATTCTGCCCGTCTAATTTTCATCAGTCGTCTGCAATAGACTTTTTTTACTCGCTGATAACTTCATAACACTTGTGTATTTTTTATTGGATTTTGCTATCTTGTGCTGTCGACATATACGTGCTGGGATCTTCGTGAATGTTTAAAAAACTTTTTGGTAACGATAGAAATTTATCGAATTGATAACATGAATTGAGATACCTTAATGTCAAGATTAGGGACGTTTGGCCCCCGAAGCGCTGTAAGTGTTGGGGTTTGTTGTGCCATAGGATACTTGAATGGATGTGCCTTGGGGTTAGATGCTGATCGAGAGGAGAGGAGAGGAGAGGAGAGGAGAGGAGAGGAGAGGAGAGGAGAGAGCAGAGCAAAAAAGAAGACAAGACAAAGAAACAGAATAGAACAGAACAGAAGTCAGTTCAAATGAAGAAATCAATTTTCGCGAAACTACTGACTTTCGAGAAACATCCTTCGATAAATTCACGATATATATTTCCAAGCGTATTTCGCGAACCTTCCATCGACTGTAGTCAAGTTGTACTCGCAACAGAGCTTCTACAACATGTCATTTATTGCGCAATTTTCATGCATTGCAGATCTTATATCCTGTGATATTTTCTTGCAGTATTCATTCAAATATGGCATTTGAATCAAATCAAAAAGCGTGCCTAAATTTAACCAAGTGTCGATTCTTATCAATTTAATGAAATGAATACAGAATCCGTTTTCCTCAATAAACAAAGACAACAGCGAATTCGGTTCAATTGAGCGTCTATTGGGGCTTATCTAAAGGCGATCACAGTTCATATCCTAACACATTATGAACCCTATTAAAACATGCACTCCAGGAAGGGCCCCCTCGATGGATCGTTATGGAATACTCGAGGTCAGATTCTTCAATCAGATCCGATCTGATAAAACAATTGCCGAAACAGTCTTTAGTATTAGAAATTCCTT